CCTGGTGATCGGCTCCCACACAGATTACCCAGAAAACCCCATGGGGCTCAGCTCTCCTCTGGCATGCAACTGGCTGCCGTGAACCAGCGCAGACTGCATGGTGAGTTTTCTGTCTACCTCGCCCCCATGCTTGCCCCCAGTGCACTGATTGCAAGTGGTTTGGGCCCGAGTGAGGTCCAGGTCCAGGCTGGAGGACAATGAGAGTCAGGCCCACCCTCTCCCAACTGAAGAAGACTTCTCCCCTGACCTAGGCGGAGACCAGGTCTTTCAGGGGTGGGGAGTTCTCATTAGCTCTGGTCTGCCATGAGCCGGCTGGTGAGGAGATGCACCATTTGGGAGCACACGCTAGTTCTGTCACTTTCCAATGTGCCGAGCCTCCATGTCCCCATCTCCGATGTAGAAAACTCGTAACTGCAGATGGCCCATTCGATTGCCGAGGGGCTTAGCAGATGCCCCTCAGAAGGGACAGCGCCTACACATACTGTTCAGAGTAACTTAGGTGACTTCTCCAGGCCCGGGAGAGAGACGCTTCAGAGAGGAACCAGGTGCGGCCACGCTGCCTTCTCCCAGGCCCATGCAGCCCTCCCTGGTGGTGACCGGGGTTTCCCGAGGCCCAGCCCACCCGGGTCAGCAGCCTACCAGGTGCAGCTCATCACCCTCGATCCACTGGGTCCAGCCGCGCCCCTCCTTCTCGCCCTGCTGCACACACTCGAGCTTGTCCCCTGCCCAGCTCACTGTGGTCTGCAGGAAAGAAGCACAGCTGTCAGTCCTGAGTGGACAGTCCTTGGGGCCAGGGAGGGAGCATGTCCACCTCTGATCCTCTAAGATGCCCTCTCATCAGTTTCTATTTCATTAGAGCAGATTTGTTGCCCAATTCTCCCTGCCTACCTGTGCTCCAATTACAGTGTGCTAACTGATTCTAAAATTTATGGAAACATTCATAAATTTCATTTAAAAGGGTAATAAGTGGATGGGGGAGGGAGTCACTTAGGCAGGGCTCTCAGTGTCAATGCTGAGGAGGGGTTGGGGAGGGGCGGAGGGCTCCGGAGGCCGAGCGGATGTGTTTGGGAGGGATATATAACTCACCCTGCCAGCAGCATCTAGGCATTTCATCCGCCATTCTTTGTTTCCACCTTTGCTAGGTCCTGAATCACCTGAAAGACCCTACCCTGCCCTCAGAGCACTGGCTGTCTCCAGGGGAGAATGAGCTTGGGTACCAAGGGCAGCCACCAGCTGCCTG